TTGAAACTCTTTTCATTTTGAATTTAATGAACAGCTACAATTAATACTTTCCCGAAATATACAAATACTATTTTATATGTTATTCTTCCATATAATTATTTATTTATATTTTCAACTTTAATTTATCGTAAAAATCCATGTAAAATTTCTCTCCGTGCATTGTTCGAGATGCGAGATTCCTTTTTGAGTTGCATCTTTTTCAATTTTTATGCATGCCACTCGCTCCCTTTTTTCTTGATTCTTCACCTTTTTTTCTGTATTTTGTTGAAGTAGTTTGAATGTGGCACGTTTAGCTGCTGACTGTGCCCCCTCCTGCACTCCCTTTATCTTTTACTCTGTGGTAATTTGTCTACAGCAGATACTCTTCTTTTTTTTGTGGCAGTTTGGGTTGCAGTTTTTGCCTCATCGAGAAAAATAAAGAAGGTAAGCGACACACGCTAATCATGAGTGTGAGACTCTCGGAGATTCTGTTCCTTCTTTTTTCCTCTGTTGACTACCCGATTTACACTCCCTTTTTTCCACGATGCGGTTTGGCCCTCATCTGCGGACTAATTGAGTGGGAAAGTGGCAAGGAAATCGAAAGGGAAAACTCTGCGGGGATGAGGGATTGATTACATATATTGATTGTGTTGATCAATCAGCGGAACATTGTTGGAGTTGAATTTTTACAAATGCAAAGACGGGATAAAGGTTGTTCCAAAGGGAATAAAGGGTTTTAATATTTTTTTAAATTTATATATCCCCTGAAAATATTCTTTAAATACTTATTTTTGTGTTTAATATTTGTAAGGCAAGTCTCTAAATATTTTTTTAGTGATAGTTTCTTAGATTAAAATATCTTATGAGTGAAACCTTCTCTGAAATCCATAACTTCTCGAAACGTAATCCTTTTAAAACCCCTTTTTCCTTCAAATTCTCTCTTTAAACTCACTAATTTTCTCATTAAACCTATATTCTCTTAAAAATGTGTATTTTTTAAGTAAATTTCACCTCCAAATCAGTTTTAATCGCTTTGTTGTATATAATAAAAAAAGAACTTCCTCTCTGCGCCCACGCTCCGCAAAAAGTTCAGTGAACTGATCGTGAAGCGAGAGAGAGAGAGGAAACCAATAATAATATACAACCTCTAATGATGCACACACTCGTACAAACATCTAAATGCGTTGGCAATAAAATATGAAAAACAACAACAAAAATAATGCGTAAAGAAGAATATAATAAAAAAAACAACAAAAAATGATTTTCAACAAAAGGCAAAGGCAGACAAATAAAAGTGCAATTAATCACCAGAAAGCAAAAAGGCCCCCAAGAAGACTGAGAACCAGAACTCAAAGGAGACTGAGACTGTGGACCAAGACTGACACTTATCGGCTTTATCTGCTTATATGAAAAAGGAAAGACAGGGAAATAAAATCAGCTCAGACAATAAAAAAAAATGAAAAAAATGCACTGAGATGAATATATATTTTAAGGGATTTTCATATATAATAAATATGTCATATAGTAATCTCCTTAAATATTGCTTTCAAAACTTGTTTAGTTTTATCTTTTCAAGTTTATTATTTAATTTTCCCTTCTATATTTCTCACTGTGCATATATAAATGTTTAAAAATTATAAATATTAAAGAAGCGATTACTTTTGCCTTGGCCAGGATGGGATAAATATATATTTTTAGGGATTTTAATATAGATATAATATAACTTAAAGAAACCTCTTTGAAGATAGCTCTCAAAAGTTGGTTAGTCTTATCTTGTCAAGTTTATTATTATATTATATTATATATATTTTTCTCTGTGCACATATAAATGTTTTAAAATTATAAATATTAAAGAAGCGATTCCTTTTGCCTTTGCAAAGGATGTCGGCTGTCAATATTTGATTTTTATATATGTATATGGCATTTTTGCCTTGATGCCCGGCGATCGCGCAGCCAAACGAAAAATGCATTAATTTTTAATAATAAATGAAATGTGTGAATAAACGTGAAGGAGTAGTAGGAACTGAAAAGGGGGAAAAGCAGGCGGAGAACAATCGGAAAGGCAAACAGCAGGAAAGCATAAACACTAACACCAAGGCAAACAAACAAAGATGCCAAAGATACAACGGATTGCCGGATTCAAATGCAGATGCTCATAGATGCAGATGCATTTTTCCAAAGAATTTCTAAGCACATAAAAAGCAAGGTAAACGGTCAGTTGGGGAAATATTTAAAAAAGCATAAAAACAAAATATTTATTGAAAAGAGACGCTAACGAGCAAACGCTGGAAAAGTGTGTGTGGGGGAAGGAGGGGAAAACCATCGGCTTTTGGAAAATTGACCATATGAGCAGGCTAATGCAGTATCTTCTTGTCTCTCCTTTTCCCCCTTTGGGCTATTTGATTAATGCACTCAAAAGCGACAATAAACACGGACATGGAGAAAAGAGAAGAATCTGGGCGGAGAATTGTCCAAGAAGAATCCAGCAAAAGGAGTCTCTCGCTTCCAGACAAACAAATATGGCATTCCAATTGATCGGAGACTGGAATTAAGGGGGGGTTCTCGGGGGTTGGAATCGGAGATTGGAATATGGAACCTCTCAATGGGGAAAGAGTTCTTTGGGTTCTTCGACGTCTATTGGATAAATAAATACACATTTTTTATTAAAGTGCGAACTCTGCGGTGAGTTCTGCGATGCTAATGCAGATCTTGCGAACCGGTCGCTAATTTTACTCCTCGCTAAGGAGTGGGACACTGGAGAAAATGTTTCTTCTATAAATATAAAAAAGGTTTCATAGATATTGAATTTCAAGGATTTTTCAAATAAAAAATGCCCCAAAAATGAATTATTATAACCCTTTTTATATTACAAATTACAAATTCCATATATTTGCTATGCCTTTGAGGCATATTTAGTTTTTAAAATCTTCTAAACAAAACGTTTTATATAAAAGTATACCCTGATTATATAATTTAATGTACTTTTAAAGGTAATTTCATGTTGAACTTATTTCTTTTTTTAATGTAACTAAAAATTCTGAATTTAATTTGATATATTTTTACCCTTCTAGGGTATTATAATTTTAGTCAGTAACTTGCAAACCAATGAAGGCGTCATTTCCGACCATATAAATTTATATATTCTTGATCAGCGTCATCAGCCGAGTCGATCTAGCCATCTCCGGCAGAAAAAAAGAATCCGAAATTTTTTCACAATTTTGTCAGGGTTAAAATTAAAAAAAATTGATAAAAATTTTAATTTTATTAAATTTTATAAAAATAATGCAGATTTATAAACCTTATGAAAACTATGATAGGACAGCTTTCCGAATTAAAATTAATACTTTTTTGGCTGAGTTATGCATTTTTTAAATTCTGATTATTCAAAAAAATATCAAAGAATGCAATTATTTTAAGCTTAATTATAATCAATTGACGTTTTCATCCTATAATTCATTGTCTTTATTTTTGTTTTATATTATATTCAGTTACCGAAATTAACTAAAAAAAACCAATTTACTGACTTAGTAAAGCTTGAAACAAATCCTCTATATATCAATAATTTCATTAACAATGAAAAGTATTAATTTTTTTTTATATATCCCCAATAAATCCCCAAATTTTCCCCCGTGTCTCGATCTCATTTGCTTTTGGCCTAATTGAAGCACACTTAGGGAACCACAGCAAAGATACAAAAATACTTCATAGATCGAAATCGACCGCAAGAATTCTGGAATTTCAATCACCTTTCGGTCACCAAACCATGGCGTTCCGTTCCAGTGACTGCTCCAAGGGAAGCGGGTATCGGAAATCAGGGAATTTGGAATGGGGGAAACTCCTCTGACCATTTGGGAAAATATGTGGCAGAGATCTCTTTGAATGGGAAAACAAGAAAGAAAAAAAAGATCAGCAGAAAAAAGGGGAAACGGAACAATGTGCGACGTGGAGCACGTGAGAGCTGTCAATCATTCCAGGGAGGAGGTGGGGAAGTCACAGCTCCGCGTTCCGCTCATTGTGTGTGATGTCACGAGGCAGGGCGAAAGAATTTCTGCGGTCGAGGCGAAACAATCTTGCAGATACCCGAAAGGCGCGCGCGAATCGTGAATCAAAACAAAACCGCGGAAAAAGATCGTCGTGCGAAGGTAGCACAAGAGAGCAGTTGAGAGAGAGAGAGAGAGAGAGGGATTGTGAGAGAGAAGCAGCGCTGTTGCAGCGCAGCAGCAGCGAGAGAAAGCGAGGTCTAATTGATCCCCTATACTCTTTATTTTAAAGTTAAAGAGAGGGGATCTTGGCAGTTAACTCTTAAATTAATTTTTTTAGAGAAAAAATAGGAAAAAATAATACAGAATTGATAAATCTCTTTGTATAAATTAATATTTGCTAATCTTATAAGGCCATATATTTGGCTAATGAATTTTTTTTGACACTGTACTGGACATTTATTTGGACACTTTGGTCATTTATCAAGTGAGGAAAAATTAATAAATTAAATACTAGATGAAATCTTGAATATTTGAAAAATTGGAAAAAATCTATTATCATATTCAATATTAATTTGCTTTTTAAAATTCCAAAATATGTGTTATATCATTGGAAACATGAAATTTAATGTTTTAATTCACTTCAAAAAATATATTATTTTAAGAAAGTAAATGTAAATTATCTTAAAATATATTTTTTAAGGATGGTATTGTTCTCTTAAAGGTAGGACTTCTACAGGACGTCATTTTTAGGTTCCAATATTATTAATAAAGTCCTTCAATCCTTATATTAAATATATATCCAGCTACATCTTAAGGGTTTCCAACAAGAATAAGAGGAAAGAGATCTTATATCTTAGTGATCTTATATCTTATGAAAATAATGGTTTCACAAATATTTTACCTATTGTATGGATATAAATATTATATAAAAATATATTTCCTAATAACATATCCTCAATTATCCCTTAAAAATACCATTCAAATATCCCTTTAACTAATATAAAATATATTTAATAGTTAAATCAAAACTCCACTCACCCTTTCTTCCTCTCGTATCATTTCGGCAATGCCCGGCTTGATCTCCATGTCATCGGCCAGCGAGGATCCACCGCCGGATCCCGTTACCCCGGCTCCACCCACACCACCGCCGCCATGATGATGCGGCGGTGGTGGCGGAAGACGTGGTTCGGCAGGTGGACCACCGCCAAGGCCACTCAATTCCATGGCCGCAGCCATGGCAGCGGCAGAGGGACCCAGGGGAAAGCGAGAATCACCCGCTGGCGATGGCGGATGATGGCCACTGGCCGAACTCTGGGCGGGATGTGGGGCAGGTGGCGGTGCATGATGATGCGGTAGCAGAGGCAGAGGCAGCGAATGCTGCTGCTGACCGGGCTGCTGCTGCTGCTGGGGACTCTGCGAATGGGGACGCGAGGATCGTGACAGTGGTCCCGGTGTGGCTGCCGGCGAGGGCATGTCCAGAGCATGGATAGTGGACTCCAGGCGGCGGGAACCCGATCCACTGCTGCTGCTCATGGGTGGAGGTTTGGGTGGTGGCGTCATCAGGGAACAATCCCGTTGCCGCTCCCGCTCCTTCTGCTCCAGTTCCATCCGTTCGGCGGCTATCAGGCTGCTCAAAGGACTCGGCGGAGCTGGAGCATTAAAGATCGTATCCGCCGATGGCCAACGTCTTTCCTTACATTCCTGCCCTGCTGTCGCTCCAAGGGGGAGAGCCTTAGCTCGGCGGGATCCCAATCCGTGCGGGATTTCTTCTCTGGCTGCATAAAGGCTAGCAGCTCTTCGGCATCTCGTTCGGATTCGTTTTTAGACTGATTTCCTCCCCACCACCTCCTCCGGTGGAGACACCACTTTCCTTGGGTGAGGAAATCCTTTCCGAGGCTGCTGCTGCCGCAGCGGTGGCTGCCTCCATGTGGGTCACATCCGCCAGGCCACGTACCTTTAGCATTTCGGCAATCCTGAGCAAAGGTCCTATCTGATCCTGACTCACATTGATCTCGCCGCGATACATAAACTCCACAATGGCCTTGAGATCCGACCAATTGACATCCCGCATGATCACAATGGGATGCTGGCAGGGAGTCTCCGCCAGAAGGGTTTGGAAGTAGGGTGAGCAGGCGGAGAGTACCATTTTGTGGGCCTTCATGGAGCGACCATCACAGGCCAAGGTCACATCCACAAAGCACTCGTTCTGCAGCAGCTGATCGAAAATGGTGGTCAGGTTGGACTGATAGTTGTTCCAACGCAGGCAAAACTGCTGCGAACTGGAGCTGGGTGAGGCCACCGAGGAGCTACGTCCCTGGGGTGAGCTCACGGAGAAGATCCTCCAAGGCCACCGCCTGTAGAGTCCTTTTCCTCCTCTTTGGAAATTCCCCCTGCTCCCGGGGAAGTCCGATCCTCGGTCTTAATGTTCTTCTCCTCTTGACTTGGTGAACTGCGATTACTCTTTGGTGATCCTGTACCAGAACTTGCTCCTTTGCCTGTGCCACCGCTGCGTTGTCTTTGTGTTACTTGTGACTGTTCCGGTGCCACAACCACATCCGTTTCCGCCTGCGTCGACGCCATATTGATTGCTGATCGTTGCTCGTTACACGCTACTCGCTGATCCGTTTACTCGTTGATTGTTGATCGTTAAACGCGACTCGCTTTACATAGCGATACGGTTAAAATAAAAAAAAACGTAACAAAAACGAGAAATCGCGACAATTACGACGCTCAACTGAGAGTGGGCATGTACATGTGTATGTGTGTGTGTGTTCGTTACGTTGACGTTGACGTTTCGCGCACTACGTGACCATTTGGCAATTAGCCTCGCCTCCAGTACGTTACGTTTACGTTTTACGTTCTTTTTAGTTTCAGTTGCAGTTCGTCTCGTTCGTCTCTCACTTCGGTTGCCTCGTCGTCGTCGTCTGTTGCCGTTCTGGTTCTGTTTCTGTTTCTGTATGAATATGGTTATTGGCCAACAAACAGGGCCAAAAGTCTTCTCAGCACGAGCGTCTGAATTAGACTGAAATCGTTTTGCACATTTTGATACGGAAAAACTCAAAACAAACTTAACACACGACGACGACGACGGCTGGCGATGGCCACGACGATGGCGCTTGTTGTGTGTGTGTGTGTGTGTGTGGGAAAAGCTAAAGGGGGATCCGGGGTTGTGGCTGTGGATGTTGCCACTGCCACTGCCACTGCTGCCTGCTGCTGCAGTAGTTGTTATTGTTGTTGTTGTTGCTCTCAGGCTGGCCTGCGACTGAGTTCGCGACGAAGTTGCGAATAGTTCGCGAATTGCGAGCTTCTCCGCCGCCGCTGCCGGCGTCGCAAAAGGAAAAGCGACAGAGAAAGAGATAGAGGCACAAGCAGAGACAGAGACAAGCGAACGAGAGGCAGAGGCAGAGGCAGAGACAGAACAGAACAGAGACAGAGGCGACTGAGAGGCCCAGGCAGCGTTGGGCGCCAAAAAACGCCGGCTAACGGTAAACGGTTACGGCCGCATTCCGTTGCGTTGCGTTGCGTTGTTGCATTGCGTTTCTCTTCGGCTTTTCTACTCGTCCTCGTCCTCGTCCTCGCACTTCGTTTTCGTTCTCGTACTCGTCCTCGTTCTCGGCCTCTCGTTGCAACCCCCAAAATGGGCATGTTTTTTGGCGCAACACACCGAACAGGATGCGACGCGTCGGCTGCAAGTTGCAAGAGGCACCCACACGTATGCACGTTTGTGTGCGTGCGAGGAAACGGAAGTTGGCCCGAAAATGCAGAGGCGCCGCCAAACTGCAAAGAGCGAGCGAGCTTAGTTTTAGGCCTAGTGTTTTTCGGACTCGTAGGCGTTGGGTGGGTGGCGGGTTGTGTGGGTGGAGTATGTGGGGGCCATGAACCACCGACCAGTACTCCTGGCCAAAAAATTTTTGGGAGGGAAGTCAAAGCGAGGCGAAAATACGGCCGATATTGGCAAGTGGCTCGGATACGATTTCGAGAGGTTTTCGGTGACGTTTTCTTGTTGAAAGTTAGATAAAAGGGGAAATTTTGAGGGAAATTAAGAAAAGTTTTGAAGATTATTTTGAATTTATGATTGTTGATTGAAATTATAGAAATTTAAAGGAATTCTTTAAGTAATATAAAGTTTGTTTAGTTATATTATGTCTCAGGATGCTTAAAAAATATATTTTCCAAAAATATGCCTATTTCTTGATGTTTTTGTAGGAAATTAATATTTAAGGCACATTTAAGTGTTGTAAATCTATAAAATATTAAATTTGAATAATATTACAGATTTTAATTATATAAAAAATTATATAAATTACAACGAGACATCTTAAATTAAAAAAAAAATTATAATAATTATAATAAAAATTATAAGGAATTAATTTACTTATATTTCTAATTATATTTCTTTATAATTATATTTCTTATTATTATTATTATATATTTTAATCGTTTGAAAGCATTGATCTTTTTCAAAATCTTCTCAAAATATGTACCTCCCTCTCTTTCTTCTCTCGCGAACTATCACTCTCTCTCTCCTCCTTTCTCATCTCACGCACACACTTGTGAGGAATAAAACTCGGCTGAAAAGATGCTTCATTAATTAGTTCCGTTAGGGGTACCTAAGGCCCTCCCGCCCCACGCCCCACATGCCCCGCCAAAACACCAACAAAAAACCCCCTCAACGAAGTTCAGCCACAGCTCTCTTCGTGTGGCGCTCTCGGCAACAGAGCGAACTGTCGGCAGCAGCGCAGTCGACGTCGCTGCCAGCTCCATGCATTGTAAACAAATGCTTAGGCGAAAAACAAGATGTGCGGCGAATTGAGGCTTCTCTCTCAGGCTTCTCGCTCTCGCTGTCGTCTCTTTGGGCCTTAAGAGACATTTCTCTTTTTCTTTTGGCCTGCACCTGCAATTTTATTTGGTGGGGGCCAAGCAGCAACTATTTTTCTGTCGCTTTTTTTTTTTGCTCTCGCTCTCGTCAACGGGGCGGATGGGTAATGTAGAGGGGAAGGCAACTATCGCCTGAGACTGGTCAGCCTCGATTTCGTATCTCTCTATGTGTGTGTGTTGTGTGTGTTTGTGCATTTTGATTATTTGCTATTGTTGTTGTTGTTGTTGCCTTGCGCATTTATAATATGCATGAAATAAAGTAATACAAATCTAGCGAATAAAAAAAATAATAAAAATTTCGCACGAGAGAACGAGCGAGAGGAAGCGAGACAAAGCTAACGTCAAGGTGAGCGTGCGAGCGAGAGGGACATTCACAAGCCAGTCATAAATTATGCATAATTTTTTTCGTGACTGGCAAATGGCGGCTGTTTGGCGTGTTTTTTTTTTGCCCCCCTCATTTTTGCAGTTTTCAGTTGGTTACAAATAATTACCGCACAATAAACATCGGCCATGAATTGGCATTACAAAAAGGCAAACAGAAAGAATTAAAAAAAAAGAAAAAGAAAAAGGAAAAGAAAAAAAACTCAAAATAAAAAGGGACTTGGACGATCGTCTCTGATCAGTGCAGTAATTCAGTAATTCAGCATTCAGCATTTAATATTCACCTGGCAATTCGTAAATGTGAATTTTAATGGGTTTTATTCGCCCATTTCCGGCATTCGACGATGGCTAAGTGATACTCTGGCTTATTAATAGCCCTCGAAATAGTTGTGTCTAAATAGATATTAAGGTCTTCAAATTAGCCTTAATGATTTGCCTTTAATTTACATGTTTAAATTCATACCATTAGGTTATGTCTCTTTTTTAAGTAATTTTTTAATGTGAATACAATTTTTCAAATAAAAATAAAATAAATAACATAAATATGCTTTTAGCTTATTGTATTTATTAATTTTTATTTATTCGGTATGGTCTTATGAACACAGATAAATCTAATATCTTTATACAATTTTCTTTATAATAAGAATTACATTCTAAATGCTCTTAAAAGAAAGAAAAATATTAAAAACATCGAAAAATTACATATATGATTTAGTAGTCCGATTTTCATAAAATTTTAAACAAAATTCTAGATTCATATATTATAACTATATATTATTTTTTAAGAAAATCTGAAAACTGGTAAAGTTATATTCTTTCTTAAAATATTCCGATCGTTCCTATGGCAGCTATATATATATGTATATAAAGTCCACCGATTCGCCATGCTCAGATTTATGTACCAGTAAAATTATATAGAAGAATAACTCCTGAGTTTCATTCAAATAGTTTGCTTCTAAATTTGTTCTAAAACAAATCTCGCACATCTGTGCATATGATTCCCAACTGGTTCTAACATCCCCGGAACGAAGTGAATGCTGCCGGCCAAGTCTCAGAAATGTGTTGTGGTACAAAAGTTGCAAGTCATTGTTTATTAGCGTTTAAAGTTAGTAACTGATCGTAGATACTTACTGGTCATAGATGCTTAATGATCATAGTTATTATGGTCATAGATAATCACTGTTCAGAAGTACTTACTGGTCATAGATAATCACTGTTCAGAGATACTTACTGCTCACTGCTTATTACTGATCATAGTTCTTAATCGTCCGATTGATCCTATGACAGCTATATATGATTATATAGTCCACCGATTCGCCAAGCTCCGACTTATATACTAGTAAAATTATATAGAAGAATAACTCCATAGTTTCATTCAAATAGCTGCTCTTAAATTTACTCCAAAACAAATTTCGCACATCTGTGCATATGATTCTCAACAAGTTCTAACATCCCCGGAATGAAGCGACTGCTGCCAGCCAAGTTTCCGAAATGTGTTGTGTTTCAAAAGTTGCAAGTCATTGTTTATTAGTGTTCAATGTTAGTAACATATCATACATACTTAGTGCTCATACATACTTACTGGATAATAAAATGATAAAAATTTAAATGTCTTAAATTTCAAATTAGGCAGACTTAATTATCTTTTTTTGGCTAAGTAATGAGTCTTTTTTGGTTTGCTAGAGAAATGGTCATATAAAAATATCAATAATACTGTTTCAAAGAGTGTGCTCATTTTAAGCTTAGGTAAGACTGATTTCCGTTTCGATCCTATAATAAAATAGTAAACTGAAAGGGCAACATATATTAACTTTATTAGTTTCATTTTATTTTCTTTAATTAACATTCAAATTTATTTTATTTATAGTTTTCTATGAACAACTATGAAGAACAAGTTCTAATACAAGCAAATTGCATTCTATTTCCAGGTTTATGTCGAAACTGAAAGCTTTTTGGAAGTGGCCAGCTTACATTGATGATGATATCATCTTTCCATTGCCTCTCTCGCCTACAAGCCAAAAGCATCGCCGCCTTCCATTATCACAGAGCGACCTCTCCCGCAGCTTCTCCCGCTGACCATTGCTTATCAGTTCCTCAACGCAGGTAGATCAGTGAAAAAAGAACTTAAAACTTACGACGCAATAGTTAAAACAGGTGCCAAAAGTGTTAGTGCAATAAAAGTGTAGTGAAAAGTGTAAGTGAAGTGATTGCAAGGCCAAGAAAAGCCTCTATTGTGTTTTATTTTTTTGTTTTATTTTTATTTTTTTAAGTGTAAGTGATAAAAGAAAGAGTATGAAAAGTGTAGTAAAAAGTAAAGTGAAAAGTGTTACCTGGCACCTGTCGCGTGTTTTTTTGA